CAAGATGATTCAGCTGTGTTGCTTTATCTCATGCTGAGGGAAAGCTAAGAGCAGGTGCGACTTGTCACTGCTGTGGCCAGGAGATGGGTGATAATTTATAAGCTTTTCTAATTGCTTGCATATTTGAGGTCTTGACATGATAACTTTTCCCTTATTCAGAAGTCCTGAAAAATGTGTTCATCAAGTATTTTAATTTGAAGTTTTTTAGTAAGTGCTTTCTAAGCATCCCTTAATGGGAGATCCAAGATTGTAAAGACCTACAAAAAGTTCTTGGACTTCAGCCAAGTTGTGACTGTTATCCTAAGATATGATCCCTTACAGAATCCATTCTTTTTTCTGACAGAAGATTGTTGGTGGAACACCATATCTCCTATTAACTAATGTTACATTTCTCTGCCTTTGAAGCATGACTTGCCTTTCTACAGCAAACTCATTCCAGGCCCTGTGGTTCCACTTGCTGCATTTCAGCTCATCGCTAGTGCAGCCAGAGTTCGCGGCAGTAGATTTAAAAGGCTGTAACTTTGAGGGGACTCTTTGCTGGGCACGTCTTTTGGATGCCAATGACATTTTTTCCTCTAGGAGCGACTGCCTTGCTTGCTTGAGTCCTGGCCTGCTACTCCGGGAGTTGCTGATTATGCCTTTAAGCACCACCGTCTTGGCTGAACTCGTTTTAGCCGTGTAAAGTTGTCCTGGAAAATTGCTCAGTGCCACATAGTGAGGCTACAAGGTGCTTCAGGAAAGCCTCTGGTCCATCCCTGAGCCACCTGCACAATCCACTACAGCTGTGTCACCCCTGGGAGAACATCCTCCCAAGCCTCTGAACACAGGAACCACACCTCCCCGGGAATCTGTGCCACTATTCACTGTCCACACAGTTAGAAAAGCTTCACCATTGCCTAACCTGAACTGTTCTTACAGCCCTTCAAGCTCTTTATTTCCTGATCTCTGCATGATGGGCTAGGTCACTGTTTTCTTCTTTTCAAAGATCTTTTAAATCTGAAGACTTTTTTATCACACTTCTGTTAAAACTTGCCTTTTCCTTAGATGAACAACTTGATTATTTTTCTTTTGCTTTCTGATTATTTTTGTTGCAGTACTCTAAATTCTGTACAGCTGGTTTAGATGCTTTTGAAGTAAAGTGGGCAAATGCGACGCGGTGCTTTAGCGTAGGTCTTACCTACATTGATTATAGCAGAACTGCATTATGTGTCTGAGCTGTTACTACATCCCCGTACAGTATTTGTTGCTTTCATGCAAGTATGGCGTTACATACTCAGTTCTGCTTAATATCTATTATAAACCTTATTTCTCATTCTGTGGAACTCCATGAAGACACTTGCTCCCTACACTGTCTTTATATAGCTGATTCTGTCTGCCTCGGAAAAGTAGCTGGCACTATCTGTAGTTGCATAACAGCATCATATTTTTTTCAGACCAGTGTCAAAACTGCATCAAATTGTAAATTTATTCTCCAATGTACATGCAGTCCCTCCCATCCTGAAGTCTCCTGTGGAATCAATCAGTGTACGTTCTACTTCATCCTGTGTTAATATTTAATATTATCAGATGTGATACATTCTTGAGAATGCTGCTCAGAACAGATCTCTGGTATGACTACCAATTTGACTTTGCTTCACTGCTAATTGCTTTCAAAATATTTTTTTTCCAACTGGTTTTGCACCTATTTTGTAAGAATTTAATCTGCCCTTCACAGCGGAGAGTATCTTATGAGACAGTGACAAAGTCTCAATAAAGTGAAGGGTTGAAAATGTACTGTTTCTTTCCTAATCTATCGGTGTTGCTACCCGGTCATGGATAGAAATTAGACCAGTGTGGCATGATTTATTCTTGATTAATGTACCTCACATGTGACTCATCTCCCTGTTCTTTTTCCAGGTGCTTACAAATGGACTTATTCTAGGAAGACACGTTAAGCTGACATGCCTAATTTTTCAGCTCCTCCTTTTCCCATATTTGTGTCTTCTGCTACCTCCCTTAGTCCCCAAGAGCTGTCAGAGGTGGCTGCTGAGAGTTCTAAGGTGGCTGCTGACGATGCCGAGATGGCTGCAGTCCTCTTTAAGTTTCTTCAAGCTCTTCAAGTTTCCTACATGAAATTCTATAAACCCAACCAATCTGAAAACAGCTAATTTTCACAGTATTTTCTCATCCATTCTTTTGTTTTTTTCAGGCTGAGATTTTATTCCTGTCACTCTGCTACTTCGGATATTAGCTGGTACAAAACCAAAATCAGCTGCTTCTGGCCTTGCTGAATTATCTGTCAGTAGATTTCCTTCTGTTGAACAGTGGATTAACGCTTTTTTCCTTTATTTTACTACAGACGTACTTGTGGAATATCTTTTGTACCTCTTGACATTTCTTGGTCTATCTATCTCATTTTATACCTTTGCTTTTCTAATTCTGTTTTTCATTATTCAATTTATTTTTTATACTTGCATTTTGTTAACTCCTTACTTTCTCCTTTCTCTTCATTTCCTTCTTTTATTTCAGTGAAGAGCTAAGCTGAGTCTTTACTGCATCTTCTAGCTCTGTGCTAGTATGTATTGTATGTGTGGTTAGTATTGTTTCTTTAAGTAAACACCAGCTCTCTTTAACTCCTTTTTCCTTAAACTTTCTCCCTCATGACCGGCTCCAGGACTTTAGCTATCAGTATTCTGGTTTTATGTAAGTTTTTCTTCCTAGTCCATCATTTCTACTTTGATGTTCTTACTTCCTTCTGCAAAATTCTGACACTGGATCATTTACCGATCACCTTCACCCAAGTTACCTCCTGTCTTTGCAGCTGATCCATCTGTATTGGTCAGGATCAAATGCAGGTGAACAAGCCTTCCTGCTGCTTTCTGCAGATTCTTGTGCTGTGCCTCAGCTTTAACCTTGGGGGTTTTTTTCTTCATTTTTAGATTGAATCAGGTTTCTTCTAAATGCTCTGCGTTGTTCTGTTTTTATTAGGATGAGCGATTCTTTGACAAATTTTTATCCATATTCAGTTTTTCCTCCTATTAGTTTTATGCATTTTTACTGGAGCTTAAAGGAAACTCTAAAGAACAAAAATGTGCATTCATTTTCACTAGTCTATTGCTGTAAACATCTCATATTTATTGTCTTACACATTTTCTCTCTCCTTTGAAGTATATTCCTAACTAGAATTAAAATCTCAGAGATAGAACGAGTATATTGTGCTTTAGATTTTAAAAAAAAAATCTTTTAAGAAAGTAGAATTTAAAAATAATTTTTGTAATAACTTCAATGTCAATTTAGCCAACCATTTAAGTATATATTTACTTCCAGTCTCACTAAACTTGATGAGGACTTGAAATCCCTTTAAAAAGAAAAGGAAGCAAAAATTTTTAATACAGTGATATCTCTGACTTTGTTGTTTGTTTATATACCTGCTCAAAACTGTTATTCAGTGGTTTTGTTTGCATTGGAGGCATCTTTCCAAAGATCCTTGCTGTTCTTAGCGTGCTTTAACTGCAAATGTAGCCTGTCTAAAGCACGCTTCATACGATCCAGAAACCAAGACATGCTGAGGCATGTTCTACCACCCTTCTGGGGGGACAGAAATGTTTTTAACTTAAATGAGTATTTGAAAATTTATTGATTTATTCATGAGAAAAATCAGAAATCCCAATTTAATTGTATTGATTTGCTTTTGCAGAGACTTATTTTAAGGTATGAGTGGAAACATAAAACCATTTGCATTGTTTTCCATACACAGGCCTCTCCGTTACAATTATCTTTATTGATTCTTGTCATGCACTGCCCTCGTGTTCCCCTCCTGGCTGACCTATAGTCTCCTGGTGCATTTGTGGCTCCGAGCACTATTTGATTACTGCAAGGACTTTATCACATCTTTAAAATCCTGTGGGAGCTAATGTACAGGCTCCCAGCTGAAGTAAACCAATACCCAGCAACCCAGGAGCGGGCGGCGCGTGTTTCACTGCGCTCCTGACCCGGCGCTGCCGCCTTTGCTGTGCGGCTGCAGGGGCGCAGCCACGGGCCGAGGGGCAAGCTCTTGCCCCCATGTCACACCTCACCCCTGGGTTCGGTATGACCGTCCGGCCTGTCAGCAGGCCCAGAATGCCAGCCCCCGTGTCGTGCTCCAGGCGTCTCACGCTAGAAGTAAACGTGGCCCATGCTGTTAGCTACCAGTGTCAGCAAAGCAAAAGGTCTTCCAGTGGTTCTTGAAGTTCGGGTTTGTCTCCATTTCTGCTGTTCTTTAACCCTCTGCTTTCTTCCTCCTCTGTGCTCTGCCACGTGTTTCCCGTCTCTCCTTTCACCTGTTTGTAACGTGCCTGTTTCCCCATTGCCCTCATCCCCTTCTCTGCTCCTCTCTTGTGGAGCCCCGATGCTGCCCCCTTTCACTCTGCCCTTCGCAGAACCAAGTCACCTGCTTCACTCCTTCCCTTGGCCAGCCC